ATACTGGATGTTTTTCCCTTTGCACACCATTCTTTGTAAACCCTAGAAATGGTTGTGCGTGAGAATCCCAGTAACTGAGCAGATTGTGAAATACTCAGACCGGCCCGTCTGGCACCAACAACCATGCCTAATTCCTCCAGCCTGAACCTTTGCCTTTTCAAGACCTGCAAGAGGTTGAGCAGCAACTGAAGGTTCAGCTCCTTAAAATGCATGAGCGTGAGGAGGAACTGACAGAGGAACTGACAGAGCAGCTCAGTAACTATATCAGTGGAATGTCGATGCTGAAGGAGAACTACCAGGACATGTACAGTTCAAAGCAGTTATCACTGCATGTGTCGTGGTACTGCTGCTGGGTGTGGCATTGATGGTCTATCTCAGATTCCTAAGGGAACAGCGGAGAAGGGACCTTGGATATGTGGAGAGGAAAGTGTGCATGACACAGAGTAGGGTGTAGGTTATGGAGACGAACAACCACACCGCTACGACCTCCCCGATCCGCCCCTTGTGTGTCGACCACTGATCAGTGTGATGCTGGTACTGTGCTCTGGGTAAACCTTTCACTGCTCTTGCACTGAGGCTCAAGGTTTAAGGGGGGATTATGTAAGGAAAAGTAGTAATGATGTCCCAATGTTCTTGGTTGATCATGTGAATACAGACAGTGTTAGCTATTAATGATCAAGGGGGAATGATCAAAGGGGAAGCCAGGGAGAGAATGGGGGTTCCAGTGGGCACCTCTAGGGTGATAAGGAAGATGATTGAATTACAATGATCAGAAAGTCTTCACCCTGTCCTGCCCCAGGTTCCTCAAAGTCCAGGGGGGTCACTCTTTATATGTAAATTCACTCACAACACCTACACACAGCACCTTGGCGGGGACGGTCTTTTGGGGTATAAAGGGGGGTGAAGAACTGCCCTTAATTTGTATCTGAGCTGCCTTTCAGTACCCGGTGTATGTCTACACTTTATTACATTATATAATTTTTACTGTTCAATAAACCACCATTTTGCTGAAACTGCGGAGACTCTGCAAGTGGATTCCTTACACCCCTATGTTGTTGTGTTAAGCAGTTGTATTAATCTGTGTTGTGGTTTACAGCAGGTCGCCTTGGTGCTGCTTTTTCTGTACTGGAAAGAGCCAGACGTCATGCATGATATTCGCCCTCTAGTGACTAATCTCAGGATTGCGGGGAGTGCCATTATTTTTAGCAAATGCGGTGCTCAGATTTTGCATGTTGGGCAGAATTGGGGGCAGAGAGTTTGATAGATTTAAGTGTTTTAGCCTCTCAGGGTTACTCCAGAGGGCACCTTAGCCTCCCTGCTGGACTCGGAGTCGACCGCGACCTGGTTGATTTCCGCGGTTGGCTTTCCCTCTGTGGTGCACCTGTGTCTGTCGAGCATAGCGGTGACCCCTAAGCATTTCTACCCCTGGAGGTGAGTGGATATCTCCTAGTCCCCCAGCACATGGTTAGGAGCGCCGCCCCCCCCCTGCACAGCTCAATGACAGATGGGACAAGGCTTTCGTGAACCGGCGGTTCAGACCAGGCAGCCTTTCTGTCCAGAGGTCCTGTGTGACAGTGATCCATCCCTTTGGGCAGCAACTTGTCAGGTGACCATGTCTCCTCCAATTAGTGCCCAGATGTTCACTGTGTACTGTTGGAGCACGCCGTTTCCACCGGGTCCGTGGATGAGAAGAGATTCACAGCTGACACGGGGAGAAGTTGCAAATCAC